TTTAATGATTGAGAAGAGAAGAAATGCACCTAATAAGTTCGTTTCCTCTTCACAACTCTGAAAGAAGAAATTCTATTGTTCCCACTTTAGACACTGGGTAACTGAAGCTTGCCCAAGATCTCAAGGCAATGAATGGCAGAATTATATTCTAAATCTAGGTTTTCTAACTGCTGTACCATTTCCCCTATGAAGACATTCTTTGGAACTTTATATTCAATAACTAATTATTAATATGTAACTATATGATAAACATAACAATCCTTTTACTACTTGTTGTAAACTGGATAACAAGAGTTTAGTATAGAAATGAGTTTTATTATTGGTTTGTCCCTTTTAGGGATGCCCATCTCAATTTTCAGAAAAAGTTGGCTAAAGAAGATAATTTCAAAAGAAAAAGGGCATATTTGCCTCAAGTCCCAGGAGTAAGTCAGAAAGTATCAGTCATTTCCTAAAAGTGGGAACTGTATTCCTTTGTGCACTTCACACCTACAGAGAAGAAACCCTGAAGTAACAAAGATGTGTTGCTAAGTACCAATGGAGAAAGACTGAGTCAAGACCTCACGGAGAAAGACTGAGTCAAGACCTCACAGAGAAAGCTTCTCCATGCATCAGGAAGATAAGCAGTTTTTGAATCTGTAAGAGACTGGAAACAAACAAACAAAAAATCTCAAGTACCTAGTTCTTTACAATCAACACTATCAAAGACATAAGTGGTTAATACAAGCCCCAAGGGGAAACATTCTATTACACACCTCCACAGGTGGCTTGTAAAGGATATTTGATTAGGTTTCATTACAATTAAACTCTCTACACCTAAAGGACACGAAAACATGGTAGATTATATAAAGAGATAGGAGATGGGCATGTAATTGGCCTTCAATTAAGTGGTAAAGAAAGGGATAATGAGGAAAGAAGCTTTTAGACATATAACCAGTTGAAAGTGGAAACTGTTGGCTTTCCAAAAACTACATCTCCAAAATGGCAAATATCTTCTATATACCGATTATATTGTCCTGTTACCACTCACCTTTTTAATAGTAATGTGCTCTGGTTAAACCAGAGTGGTGGAAAAAAAGACAAAAAGACTAGACACCCCAACATTCTGAAAATGAGCCAATCCAAATGAAAGCCACCAAGCGGCATGAAGCATTGATTCACAAGAAGAAGGATGACAAGCTTCAACCATGTACGAATGGCCCTAAAGCCAACAGTGGATGTCCTCCGAATGGGGGCAGCTGAGGGCAGTGGTTGTGGTTTTGCTGCAGGGTGTGCTGACGCCGAGGCTCTGAGACCCCGCCTAGGATAAGGGCCACTGTAGAACACCTTCCTTGCATAGTGACTGCCCATGAGCCCATTATTCTGAAATATCGGTCAAAGATATTATCATTTTGAAAAACAGAAATATTCTGGCTTCTCTGCTGACACAGATCTAGTATTAACAAGTTCCTTGGAACTAATATCCGAGAAACTAATCATATCCCTTGATTATGAGCTTCTTAAAGACTATTTAAGCCAAAGTAGTAGATCAATGGGATATGGGGTTGACTCAACATGGTAACTCTTTGAACTATCAGCTGTAAAATCATTAGCACTAACGTTATGAACCCTGATTAACACCCCATCCAACTGTGAAGACAATTTCTAGAAATACGAGAATTTTAAAAAATTGATCTCAAAGTAGAACTCTTGGCCACTTTTGGATGGTCTAGTGTCAGATACTTAATTGAGCAACAATTCAAGTAGAAAATGTACTGAGAATTCTCAAAAGAGAGTTGTGAGTAGGATACAAGAGGGAATCCATTATTGTGTATAGCCATTTCTCACTTTTCACTAATTAAAAAAAAATTTTTTTTAACGTACTGGTCAAATGTGCTATATCACACATTACTCAATTTTCTGAAGTTGGAGCATTCCTACCTCTCACTGAACATAGTAACCTCCTGAAGGATGAGGAAACTTTAGTCTGGATTTCAAACAACGACAGTTTACTCAAGTTTGACACATTACCATAGTTTCACGGTATCTCAGAAACAACGTAACCCGCTATGGGAGGCTGGTGGTGGGAGGCAGGTAAAATTGGATTTTTTTTTCCTTCTCTCATATAATTTGAAGATTATAGAATGTAGTTTTTAAAGGTCAGAACGAATTGCTAATTAAGTGGAGGCATTTGAAATTAGCAAATAAAACTGCTACTCAGAATAGTGACTAAGGAGTAATTAATCATATGGGGAAAAATGGCAGCACAGTTCAGCCAGCAGTAAAATTATCTTTTAACTAGTTACCATAGAGCCTTCAGATAGTGTTACTAAGAAACTGTTAGATATTAATTCTGTTCTTTTCTCTTTAGGCTATATCCTTTAAAAAAAATAGTGCTCAACATTTTTCTATGAAGACACAAATCAAGTTCACCTGCACAGCCTCGCTTGCAGGTATTTAGAAATATGTGGACAAGCTATGATTTCCCTTTACCTTTTACTCAACATGGGTGTGAAGTGAGCATTACATTATCGTAGTCTTATAAAAAAAACAGTTTAAATCTGCTCTACTTTTTGTATAACTCACTGATGAACCTTGACATTTTAATTATTAGAACACAAAATTACTTAATATACTCCTCAAACCAATGCTGAGAGTCCTTCCTTTCCTTCTTTGAAAATGCCTTTTTTTTTTTTTTTTTTTTTGAGACAGAGGCTTTCACTGCAACCTCTGCCTTCTGGGTTCAAATGATTCTCCTGCCTCACCCTCTGGAGTAGCTGGGATTATAGGCATGCACCACTATGTCCAGTTAATTTTTGTATTTTAGTAGAGATGGGGTTTCACCACGTTGACCAGGCTAGTCTCGAACTCCCGACCTCAAGAGATCTGCCAGTCTCAGCCTCCCAAAGCGCTGGGATTACAGGCGGGAACCACCGCCCCCCGGCTAAAAATGCCTTCCAAAAACATTTTGGTTTGATTTCCAGGTGCTTTTTGTTTCCCTAGGTGCTATATCTGCCAGTCTTGGGTTAGATGCTCTCAACGCATGCTAGGATTTCATTTCACATCAAGATTTTTATATCTTAAATTTACAGCCAAATTTACAAACATGAATATTACAATCAAGTATTCAGACAGTTGATTTGACATGCACATCTTAAACTCGAAAACAAATTAAGGCAGGATTTATACAGAGATCCATATTTTTAAGCACTTGATATTTATTAATTAGCTAATGCACACCAGAATCCTACAAGGTAGCATAGCATGTCTTTATTATGAATAAATTAGGTGAGAGCCAGGAAAAAAAAAAAAAAAAACTGTCTCCACAATTATATGTTGATTGGACTCTCCTTGTCTGGTCACAAAAGAAAAACAATTCCTCATATAAGTGGGTCAAACGAATAACGATATTTTGTTTGGATGGACTATAAACAGAGTATAGTTATTTTATTACCTGGCAGTTTAAAAAGATAATTTTCTTAATGGGGCTTTAATATTCTGTGTTTGCACTGACCTTTCAGAAATTTCTGACTCAAAAGATGAGCTTTGGAAGAGTTAGGATGCCCTGACACTCCACCCCCGAGCCCCACCTGGAAGGTTCAAATTTTCCTATGGGAGCTTTAGTACTTTTCATGTATATTAAATTTTTCATCCTTTGGTCTAGTTGACCTAATAAACTCATGTCAATAGAAAACTGTAAAGACTCTTTCAGTTCCAATTTATGCTTATGTGTCACCTAACAGGCAAGGGAGACACAAATCCTATTTGTCTTTGTAGTCAAGCAATTGCAGATGAGAGTTTTATTACTACCTTTATCAGCCAAAGGAATCACTGCAGTCCTCTCTACTTAGCAGATTACTTTATGACTGTATATATTAGTTCACTGGGCTTCAAAGACTCTATTTAACGAAGCCTCATTAATTTGAGTTTCACTACCATGGTATTTGTGGACTCCAGCACAAGTGCCACCCTGAAGCTAACCTCGGTACTGAAGAAGAAAAACTTTTTGCAAAGTAAATTAACTGCATGAACAAGGCTGTAGGAGTGTTTTATCTTTTTAAGAAGACAATTTCAATCACTTAACCACTCACCTTTTAAATACAAATAATTTTACTCTGATATAGTATAAGGAGTCCATTAGGTTTGTGTGTTACGTTAATTTTGAATCATTTTCCCCCATTGCAGCAAAACTTGAAATGGGCAGTCTTTGGTTAGTTTAGTTAACATAATTATAAATACTCTAGAATAGTAAAAATACTTTAAACATTGAGAATTTGAATAAATTCACTCTTTCAAATATACAGGGTTATCTCCTAGTTCCTTTGAATTAGCATTTTACAGAAAATCACATGACTCATGTTCTCAGCTTGCCAGGAGTCTCTGACATGTCAGCACCTCCAGGGCAGACTGGACCATAAGACAGGGATGCCCACGGGTCTGTGTGGGTCTCTTTCTTCTCCTTCAGAATTGATGTGGTTATTTGAAAACATTTACCTTCCATCCCATTCCCATCCACTCATAATAAAATGGGAAGGTAAGATATGACTTAGCTAAACAAACATAACCAAAACCAAACAAAAAAGACAACCACAAACAGCTAGCTTCCCAAGTAGGAATGTTTCCATTCCAGAATTCCCAAAATAGAAACTGCATTAGTGGCCCCTTCCTGCCTAAAACGGAATATGTCATCTCCAGAATGAAAATTTCCATTATCTGCATGGGGAATAATAAAGAAATTTGAAAACAGGCAAACACACAAAACTTCTGGCAGGTTATTCACTTGCATTTGACAGGTTGGCAAGGAGCAATGGTATTTAGATGGGGAATTCTAAAAGAATCTAATTAGTATAGCCACAAGCTTATCTATAAAGGGTTTGGCATAGCCTCTCTGTAAAGCAAAAGAAATCTATGTTCATAGGCTTTTCTATATTAAGTTATTAAAAAAAACACACACACAGACACACACACACATACAACAATTTAGGGTATAAGCTCACTCACTAAACCCAAATAGAAACAAAGTGTTTTGTTGTTGTTGCTGTTTTTACTTGGACAATGCTTATTTTACAGCAGAATTGACAAGTAAAGCCTTATTTTACACATCCGAAGAAACGCCATCACGGGAGGTTTGTAGGTCACTGTGTGCTTTCCAAAACAGCAAAATAGATTTCTTCCCATCCAACCCCCTTTCTTCTCATAGAGCACGATGTGGCTGGTGGGGCTGCCTCTCTCTGCAGGCACAAGAAACTGGCAGATCTGGTCCCTCCTGAGCGGACCCTGCTCAAGGGAATGGTGCCAGATTTCGAACACAGGGCAACAGTCTCCTTCATAACAACGCTGTGCATTTCTGTGTCATTTTGTTTATTGCTCACTGAGTTGTTGCCACCTCAGCGCTTGGTGGAAAACAGTGGGTGTCCAGAAATTCCTGACACGGGGAGATGGGTTGCCTAAGGTCACTAGGTACACAGGGCAGCCCCAGCCAGATCCCAGCTGGTGTGTGCAGGGTATTGTCCGTAGAAGCTCAATGTCCCACTTTGTAACCAGGCTGCAGGACACCAAGTCCAGTCACCATGGAAAAGAACTAAACCTGGAGAAAGAGCCTCATGATCTGCACTCCCCATCAGAAAGCAACAGTTTTCCTTATTTGTCGTGCTATTTCCAAAGTGAATGAGTCTTGGCTCAGCAATAGGACTTCAGTGAGAAATAGAAGAAATAGGGGACCCCACCTAGTCCAAGGCTGCCACTTCTTCAGAATTTTCTCACTTCTTTTCAAATCACCAGTATCCCCAATTAAAGCCCACAGTTCAGGCCAAACATCATAAAAAAAAATAGTCGTTTATTTCCGCCTCATTCTGGGGTTTATAATTCTTCTTTTGGATGCTTTTGGGGAATAAAATTCACCAAGGTCAAGGGCTGTGAAGACATTTTTGCCTAAGAGGATCATCATGCAGGTGGACTATTTCTTTCCCTAAGCTATTATTTGGCAGCTTGCAAAGAGGACTTGGCTTAACCTTGAGAAACTGTTCTTTGAATGATCAGAAAAATAGGATGAGACTTCTTCCTTTATTTACTGTCTTCATCTTCATTGTTCAGATGGCAAACCTGGCTCCTGTGCTGCAGAAAGAGGACTGATATTTGTCCATTTCATACTTTCAACTAATAGTGATCTGTTCCGATTCTGTGCATGTTACCCTTAACTGTGTCCAACATGATGAAAAAAGAATGTGTATTTCCGGATAGAGGTGGTTGACATCACAAACATTGAGGATGTAACAGAGTAATTATGCTCTGAGGAAATCTAGAATAAATTGAAAATTTAAATTTTTTCACTGTCTTTCAGTTTGAATAATGCTCCAACTGTTTGCTATAGGATTATCATTTAGAACATGTGCTAAATATGTTATCAGGAAAGAATTTAAAAATCCATCCAAATATCATAACTTACCCCAAAATTTAAAAAACGGAAAAAGAAAAAAAGAAACCTCATTCATTTCCAAAAATCAAGACCAGTCGTATGTTAATCTGTGAATCCTTGTAAGAAATGTTCATTGTTCAAGAAAGAAGCCTCCTCTGGTGGTTGATAAGCAATTCTCCACAGCAGAGAAATGCCGATATTTTGTTCTTATCTCTTGATTGATGCTGTCACTACTTATTCTTCAGGCTATAAGACAGAAGGAAACACAGTCTTACCTTCTTTCATAATTACAAATTCCAACACCTTTTTCTCTCCCCACCCCCTGTCTCCAATGTACTTCTCATGTTATCTTAACCATCAAATTCAAATAAAGTTACTCATTCAGGTTCTAAATAACCTGTATATATAATATCTACCATCTCCACATATGTACAAGGAAATGTGTACCTCTACATTGTCAATCCAGAAGCCCAATTCATTCCAAATGTTCTTAAAAGAAAAATAATGCATTGATTTTTATTTATGGCATGCTGCATACACCCATCTCTAAGTTTCAGGTGTAACTACATGCAGAAACCTCTTGTGGAAAGTGGAGAGTGGCCCGGCACAGTGACTCATGCCTGTAATCCCAGCACTTTGGGAAGCCAAGGTGGGTGGATCATGAGGTCAGGAGACTGAGACCATCCTGGTTAACATGGTGAAAGCTTGTCTCTACTAAAAAAAAAAAAAAAATTACAAAAAATTACCCAAGTGTGGTGGCATGCGCCTGTAGTCCCAGCTACTCGGGAGGCTGAGGCAGGAGAATCGCTTTAACCTGGGAGACGGAGGTTGCAGTGAGCCAAGATTCACTGGGCAACAGAACAGGACTCCGTCTCAAAAAAAAAAAAAAAAAAACAAAAAAAAAAAAAAAAAAAAAAAAAAAAAAAAAAAAGAAAAGAAAAGAAAAGAGAAAAGAAAAGAGAAAGAAAGTGGAGAGCAGGCAACATTACAGCAGCTAGATTTCAAATTAATGTAGGCCTCATTCTCCGCTCATTCAGAACTTTCTTTGTTAGATGAATAGAAAAAAAAAAATTGTTTCTAGCTTTATTTGCAAAAAGTATTAATTTAATCAAACTGAGAGCTATTTTTTGAAGGAGTTTTAGTTTTGTTTTTTTTTTTGCCTGTATGACAAGAAGATATTACCGCTTACCACCTGCCTACTACGTGTCATGAATTTTACATTTACTTTACATTTTAATTTAATCCCTAGACCACCTTTAATATGTGTACCATTTCCACCCCCTTTAAAGGTGAGAACACTGAGGTTTCACTTGGCTAAATTAATGGCACAAGATCAAACAGCAGTTAAGGGGTGGAACGTGAACCCTAGAAAATATCAAAAGCAGGAAGTGAAAGAGCTTGTTGACATCATATGCAGGGGATTTCTTGTATGCTGCTGAAGATGTACTCCAGCTGAAAGGAGGCTGCTGGAAAAGCATCTTCTCGTGGTGGCCGTTTCCCCTAAAGTATATTTTAGAGGGGAGGATGGCAAACTGTTAAAGCAGGTTAGAATCTCCCATCTTCCATCGCTGAGATCCAAATGTCTCACTGGCAATCTGGTAAAGGAAAATTCAAAAGCTACAAAGAAATATTCAATCACTCACCTAGAAACACAGAGCATATGTTGAAATTTCATTTTCCAAAAAAAAAAGTGCTGTCATAGAATATTTTTAGGATCTGAATAAGAATTTGAACATTGGTATAATGTAGACAAAAAAGAAGGTGACTACGTGCATATTTTTAAAAATAGCTTTGAAATTTTTGAAATTTTGCCTTAGCATGACCCTGGTAGCTACAGCCACTTTTTAGTACTTGTTATAAAAATTAAAATGCTGTTTTAGGATCTCATATTCTGCCACCATCTGGTCACGACCTGAGGAAATTCTACAGTCCTTGTCATCTTCACAAATTAACGTGACATAAAGGTTGAAAGTTCTCACTAAGCAAACAACTGTAATTTCATTTTTATAAACCGCAGAGAGGAGCACTTTTTAGGTTAAAATGAGTTTGAAGCACAGCATCTTCACGTAATGGTAAAAAGACCAAATATTCACAGCTAAACAGTCTTTATTCATGATTACATTATTGGAGAAAACCAGATGAAAGGCTTTTTTTTTTTTAACATATAGTAAAAGTAGTATATTAAGAACTTAATCTCTTAAAGAGGAGAAATAGCATACTCTTCTTTTTTATAGTCGTCAGAATTATTTAGATCTTTTCTGAATACATAGAAATAATGACAAATTAAAATGTCTTTCAATTCCATATAGCTTTTGTAATTATTCATCCATTGCTGTTATTATTGCTAGAAAGTCTTCACATTTTAGTAAGCACCCCATCTGATACAAAAGAACACGGAAAATTTTACTGCTATTAATAAACACGCAGCCAACCAATCCAAGAAGAAAATTCTTTTTCATCTGAGAGATAAGCTGCATAATTCATGTATTTTCAGAAATTTCTTTAAATAGCAAATTGAAGAAAGGCATAGGGAAAAGAATTCATCACATAGCTTCCGTTTGTGGCGAGGGGCAGTCTTTGTTCTTGGACAGCCTTAAAAATGATTACATCTGAAGAGAGATTTTCAGCTGGACCATATACATACCAATCATACTCAGGTAGCTCACCTTCTTTTTGACATATATGAAACCACAAACATCATGATAACATGGCCCCAGTTTCACGTTTTCTACCTTTTTTTTTTTTTTTGAGATGGAGTCCTGCTCTGTCGCCCAGGCTGGAGTGCAGTGTTGCAATCTCACCTCATTGCAACCCTCACCTCCCGGGTTCAGGCGATTCTCCTGCCTCAGCCTCCCAAGTAGCTGGGACCACCGGTGCACACCACCATGCCCAGCTAATTTTTGTATTTTTAGTAGAGACAGGGTTTCACCATATTGGTCAGGATGGTCTCAAACTCCTGACCTCAGATGATCCACCTGCCTCGGGCTCCCAAAGTGCTGGGATTACAGGTATGAGCCTCCACACCTGGCCCACATTTGCTACCTTTCTAAAATTAATGTAACTCGGTATTAATAGGGACTTTTCATGGGATCTCGAGAAGCAGTTAGAAAAATGTTCGACAATTTGGAATGGGTACCTTCGCCTTCTCAAAACACAAGTGTCCATGTCAGGGAATGCAGCGATACATAGAACTTCTGTGACCTCCAGCCCCTATTAAAATCTTGGCCACACAGGGCATGTGACGGCCTTCTAGAACAAGCCAGATGAGAATCACATCTGCAGGAAGAGGAACATCCAAAAACTCCAGCTTTTTCCACCACTAGTCTTTCCCCTTATTCTCATCCTGAAGGTCCAGGATAGGGAGATTCTCTGACCTAGTTTTGAAACAGAGAAGTCTTAAGACAGACTAGTAAGGACCAATGAAAATGGTCTCACCATTTAAAATGGCCAGCAATGTACACAGTCTTCCTGAGATATTAACAATGTGGGGGAAGAATGAAGAAAGCATGTTGACCACATGTTTCAAGGTGGCAGCTAGAGAAATGTATAATGATTAATTGGTCCCACACTGAATGTGGGACTGTTAATAAGCCAGTGAAAAAACAAAGCAGAACATCCTTAGCCATGATAAAGCCTCGTTTCTGAGAGCCAGGTAGCAAGCTGACAGTGACAGGGAAAAGGCAAGCATGGGCCAATTGGGTTTAGGTGAAATGATCTGGCCAGAATTTGTTAGATGAAGAGTCATGTCTAAGGCATTTTTTTCACAAAAATGTTGCTGAACAGTCATGACTTGGAATTTGTTCAGCCTATTGTCTGAGAACTGAATGACATCCAAGGACGTAACGCTTCAGCCGCATTAATTAAAACAGTGCAGTGATAAACCAAATTAAGTTATGTTTCCAAAATTGAACATCTCCCAATTTCTATTCTTGTATCCCCTAACTTGGCAAATAAGTATTCGAGACAAAAGTGCAGTGTTTTCCCTGGCCGGTTCATTTTTATCCCTCAGGACACAATCAATCCCAAATCTTATTGGCCTCTTATTTCACTCTGAAATGTGGGATTTCCTCTGCATCCCCTGCCCCACGTCCTACTCCAGGCTTTCCATCTGGGATGTTTGCAGTCAGCTCGGTGGCCTCATCACACTGGTGCTGCAATGCCTCACTGGGCTCCCAGCACCTTCTGGAGAAAATAAAAATGTCTTAATATGACACATAAAGGTCACTGTAATGCCACTGGCATCTTCTTCTCCAGTCCCGTCTTTTACTCATTACCCCTTGTGATTACTTCAAGTCTCCAGATCACAGGAAGTAAATGAAGTTCCTCTGCGTGCTGCCTCTCACATGTTACCATCGTTGGTGCAGGCTGCTCCTTCTGCTTGGAAACTCATCCCCTACCTCTCTGCTTGCCCAGCCTTTCCTATCCCCCTTGATGGAAACCTGCTTCTTCCAGATCGTCTTTCCTGAATGTACCCTGACATAACAAAATGTATTGGGAATATTTCGAGCAACCACCAGGTAGTGGAGAACCAAAGTTTCGGAAAACGCCCAAGCTACAGCAGAAAACTGCTGTGCTTAAGACAAAAGGCACAAGATGTTCTGCTTCTGATAAGGGTAAATGTCAGGGGGATGAGGGAGTTTGGAGAAAAAGAGAGAAGAGAATGAGAATGTGAGAGAAGGGGAAGAGGTCTGGGGAAAATGGAATCAGGAAGATGGCTTTGTGCTCTACAAGGTGCTAGCTCTGTATGAAAACCAAATCTTCAATACAGTTGTCTAGACAAATAAAATACTTCCCAAATGATGATTTTTATTGGAAGCCTATGTAGTCTGATTGATACTCGGTGTGGGAAAAGAAGCACTCAAGTGTACAGGGGGAGAAAGATGCAGAGAGATCACAAGGTGTTGGGAATCAAAGTGGAGGCAGGACTTTGGACACTAACAGGTTATAGATTTGTTGGGTAGTCCTAAGCCAATTCAGGACGACTGAAAGTGAGATAGGGTTCAGCTGACACCTCTGAGATCTGATGAACACAGACTTTATCCAAACCTTCTTGAAAAAGGCAAGTCCCAAATGTTTTAACCCGTGGAATAAAGAAACAATTTAAGAAAATTTGGGCTAATTCAGAGAAAAGTCAGGTATGAGGAACATTCAATAAATTGTGAACATTTAAAAATATAGCACTTTTAAAATACTTATTCACTAGCGAAATTGACAAGACCGATTCGTAATTAACTTCCCGAAACACC